ATCCAGGCCGTGCTGCTGCCCAAGAAGACCGAGAGCCACCACAAGGCTAAAGGCAAATAGAAGTCTGGATTAGTTTAATGCAGCTCAGGTTTCTCAATCAAACCAAAGGCTCTTTTCAGAGCCACCTACAGTTTTCTGGGAAGAACTGAGCACTAGGTTTATAAAGCTTATACTCTAGATAATACTTAGGACCATTATAGGTGAATTATACCAACCTCAAAACTTGTGTTAGGAAGTGATTTCCACTCCATGTTAAAGTGTGTGAAATAACCTATAAGCTTTGATTCATCACCATTGGCAGATTTGAGAGGTTATGTGGAGTGAGTCATTCTTAAGTATTGTCACCTTCACCTCTACCCATCATGAACCTCTGGAAAGCACAAACTTCTGGTGGAAGGTCAATGTGCCTTTTTGTGGCAGTTTTAAGACATTTTTGTTTTCTGGGTTCTAGACATCCTGAATGTTCAGGGATCAAACCAAACCTGTATCTTAGGTCAAAGGCCATTTTTGGAGCCGTAAGATACCTGAGAAAGACCTAATTTCACATCAGTGTACATTACCTTTTACATTGCTGATTAAGGAATATTTAAATACTCAGGCTTCTTATTGGAAAAGTTAGCTGAGGTGCCTGACAATTATACTCATTGTTTATTATTGGGTTCTCAAGTATTTTCCAAGCTCCCTTGCACCCATCCATACAAACATGTCTACATAAGTCGATGATCATTCGTTTCAGGATAAAAATGCTAAGTTCTAGTTTAAAATGCCGTTTTCTTAGTCTTTTTATTGTTAAAAGACCCTGTACTGATGGGATTAGATCGTTTTTTCCTTAAAAAAAAAAAAAGCTTGCCTTGGTAATTTCTAGGCCCTGGGGGGAGGGGGAGGATCAGATGTATCAGATGCCAGGCAAGGAGGCTCTCCTAAGGTTCTGCCAGTTGCTAAGGAACTATTGGATGTAGCTGCAAACCCAAGGGGTGTGTAGCTTGCGGTAAACATAGGTTACTGGTGGGGAATTAGATTCTTTAAAAACAAAGGAATTACATTCCTAAAATAGAAAAATAAATTGTGCTGCAATGGAATTGTTTTATATTAACTAACAATGAAAAGAAGCTCATGTAAGGATGGGTTTCCCTATGAAGTTATTAACCCTTTAATTCCGCACATGCAAATCAGATTGTACTTACAGAAAAAATTTTTAAAGTTCTTAAAATTCGTGTTTGAAGGAAAGCTGAGGGGTGATGGTACAGCGCTGCTATTAACCAATTGTGGCCACTGATCACTGGATATGTGGCTCGTTTGAACAAAGCAGTAGACATGCAATATGCACACTGGATTTCAAACTGCAAAATAAAAAAAATTAATGTGAAATATCTAACAATTATATTGATTACATGTTGAAATGAATATTTTAGATATATGGGGTTAAACAGAATACTACTAAAAATAATTTCTTGTTTTTATTTTGTTCTAATGTTGCTAGAAAAGTTTCTGTTTCTTATGTAGCTTGTATTTATTTCTACTGGAAATTGCTGTTACAGAGCAAACAACTTTACAGGAAAAATGAAAAAAATTGAGGTCACAGATAACTGACACTGTCGGAGGATTGGGGGAACAACAAATAAAATTTTCGAGTCCTAACCAGTCCGGTTACCGGTTGGATAGTCCTGGTCTCCTTTTGTCCAATCAGCTTGTGACTCTCGCTATAAATAGGTGGCTAGGGGGCGCCTTTATGCTAGCTGAATCATCTAGTCATGGCTCGCACTAAGCAGACCGCTCGCAAGTCCACCGGCGGCAAGGCGCCGCGCAAGCAGCTGGCCACCAAGGCGGCCCGCAAGAGCGCGCCGGCCACGGGCGGCGTGAAGAAGCCGCACCGCTACCGGCCCGGCACGGTGGCCCTGCGCGAGATCCGCCGCTACCAGAAGTCCACGGAGCTGCTGATCCGCAAGCTSCCGTTCCAGCGCCTGGTGCGCGAGATCGCGCAGGACTTCAAGACCGACCTGCGYTTCCAGAGCTCGGCCGTGATGGCGCTGCAGGAGGCGTGTGAGGCCTACCTGGTGGGGCTCTTCGAGGACACCAACCTGTGTGCCATCCACGCCAAGCGCGTCACCATCATGCCCAAGGACATCCAGCTTGCCCGCCGTATCCGCGGGGAGAGGGCGTGAGCCTGACGGTCTCCCATCCACCCCAAAAGGCTCTTTTCAGAGCCGCCTACATGCACACTGAAAAAGGACTGTTTCCCTGCTAATTACTGCTACTAGCTTTGCTTGTGGGAGACAGGTGAACTTTATACATTGTGATTTTCTAAGTACTAGGTGTATGTGTTATTTCCATCTCCCAATTTAGTAAAACAAGTGGTTAGATCTTTCTTACATTCCTAATTTCTCTTTAAATTAGAAAACACTACTGCTACGATTAGACTGTCAGATGTAATCATGCCCATTCCTTTATCTGAGGGGACTTGTGAAATGTAGGACCTATGATTTCCACATGGGATTTAGGGTGATGCTAATATTTTACCAAGTTAAAATGATCTAATGCTTTCTACTTGGATTAACACCTTAAGCAAAAAATAATTGAGTGTCCCCTCCCAGGAATCAGCCTTCCTATGGGAAAAAAGATTTGATGGGAAGCAGTCGTCCCCCACCCCCGCCCCGGGCACATCTAAGGCCAATTTCTAATCAGATTGGTATTCTTGAGTGTGTAAACAGGGCCTTCTGGCTTGGGGAACTGAGATATTAAGTCAAGAGGGGCCCACAACAGAGATGGCCCTTTCTGCTGGCTGGGTAGGGCACCCTCCCCTGAATATATGCAGTTAGTATATTGCTTCCCCAAGTAATCTTTAAGTCCTCATTATTTGAAGATTTATTCAGGGGAAATGAGCAGTCCTAGTTATGTGTACATTTCTAATTATGTGGATACAAATATTCCATGTCTCTAAACTATGTGCTGAACTCCGGTAGTGTTATCCTTCTACCTAAGCTTTTCTGGAATTTCAACATAATTTCATCATTCCATACAAGGAACTTGGATTTTTGCTATAGTAATGGCTCACAAAAATGAATACTCAAGACACCAGACCATTTTGGATCATGCTAATGGGTAGATGGTGATGCCAAGTACTAAGATAAGATTCACTGGGAAAGTAGTGATGATGTTCAGTCTGGGATATACATTTTGAATTCCCCGGAGATCTACAAGAATATCAGAAAGTAGATGTATATGTATGTCTGAACTTGAGATAAGTCTGGGATGGACATAAGATTTGGAAGTCATTAGTATATATAAAGCATTGAAACCAAAGGACTGGCCTAGAAATCCCTCTGGCTCTTCCTCTCTTGTGACCACTCTGCCTTATTTGCCAGTATCGAACTTTTTGTCATTTGCCTGCATACACAAGCCATGAATTTGGTGACGCTCATTTTCTGCTGGAATCCGTACACTTTCCTCTATTTCCCGACTTCCTTTAATCCTCAGACCAAGTGTTACCTCTCACAGATCTTATTCCTCTATGCTCCCCTTATATTCTGAGGTTACTTATCTTGCTACTTTGTTCTTTACTTACTTTTGTTTCTTCCCTTTAGATTTTCTTTAGGACCGGCGGCGTCTCATTAACATTGTATCCTTAATGCCTGGTATCCAAGTGTGTGATATTTGTTGAAAATAAGCCTAAGTAACGACTGCGTATCGTAAGTGTTTTAAAACAACTCTTTAAAAGCAAATTTTAAGATGCAGGATTTACTATCTTTCTGACACCCCAAATGAGTTTGTGTATCATTCACAAAAAACCACCTCAGGGCCCCTCCAACAGATGCTTTGGCTTCATAAAAACTCACTTATGCCACTTGCCTAACTCCCACACGTGGATCTAGATAGATGAGTCAATAACCTTGTAACTTCACTGATTGAAATTAGTCTAACACAAATGTCAATTTTGTTGACTTCTAAATAGCAACTGTGAAATACGGAACACGAAAAATATGGATATCCTGGGACTGAAGCCTAACTAGAGAGTATCAGTACTGCACTTCACAGAACAAATTAAAAATGTACCAAGTCGTGTCACCTTTTTTATGACGATAGAAGTGGCTCTGAAAAGAGCCTTTTGTTGCTTCGAAGCTTGGTCCCTACTTGGCCTTGTGGTGGCTCTCGGTCTTCTTGGGCAGCAGCACGGCCTGGAT